TTTCTCCTGATATCTTCAATTTTTCTAATTCGTTTATTTGATTGCCTAAATTATAGGTGAATCTTTATCCTTCTGTTTTTCGTTCGAAACAGCTCGGTCATATCGAACGCCGAGCACACTTGACATTTGCCGAACAGATTAAAGGGCTTGGTTTGGTACAAACTAATCTCTTCAATTACCTTGCTGAACACTTTAGCGGACTTGACTTAGTACAAGCTGAGCTCTTTCCTTGGTTAGCTGGACAGACTGATGAGTTTGGCCATCAAGAGAACCCAACTCTTTATTTGTTTGTCAAATGAACTGATCTGTTCAGCTCGGTCCTTAAGACTGGGTGAATATCCTTGTCACATGACAGGTCTTGTCAAGCTCACGTGCACGTGCCATCATGAGGGCTAACCCCTTTAGTTATCTTCCCAGAGTTGTTGCGATCAAGCTTGTTGAACTGATTGCATTTTGCAAGATATCTTTCTCCCCAATCTTTCCCATTTCTTTGAGTTTGTAGACGATGTATTCTGATTTACTCTATAAAATATGAGATAGGAGGGTTAGTATCATATGACGTGATTGTGATGAAAGATAAGAGAGCCGAAGGAAGTGATTATTTGTCTGAACAATGTGGAACCATGATTATTTTGTCCGGTGTTTGTATGCTGGAGGTCACCAGTGGCAGTCTAGAAAGATAAGAGATCCAAAGGACGTGTTTAACGAATTAACTCGAGGGGAGGTCCAGAGAGTGACCATGGGATGGAAACAGGATGTGGATTATGTAGTGGTGGGGCAGTATCATTCACAGGAGATGTTATCACAGCTGCTGGTTGAAAGAAAAGTTTGGACCAGTCCAATGGGCTGACTCTAGGCTCCCCTTATAGTGGGGTCTTCTTCATGCAGACTTAAAGGACCTTTGATTTTAGATATAAGTGAGCCAACTCCTTTCCCAGTCATCCATCCAGAAAGTGGTGGTTGTTCCACTTCTTACCACCTGCCTAAATTTTCCTCACTCTCCATGTGTTACCAATTACTAATAATATTTCTTCCCTAGTAGCTATCAGATCAAAGAAACACAACAAGTTCTTTGTTTCAATGGTAAACATCATAACCATCTTTGTATTAGAATGTAGATGAATTAAATTTTCTAGTGCATTTGGACCTGTGAGGCATATGTAATTTGGTAAAGTATAAGCAATAAATAATTATGTTACATGGACCTTTTTAGCATTTTGAGCGAAAAACAGTTTACAACTCTTACACACTTGTTCCTATTCTACAGGGATATCAATGTGGCCTCCAATGATTGTATACATTAATGCAGAATAAGTTACTTAAACAAGAGTTACCCTAATGGCAAAAAAAAACGTTTGCAAATTCGTACGATGTCAGATACATAATAGCTCAATTCTATTCACAAGACTCGTAACCCAATTATTTAAGGTCGTCTACAGGAATCTCATTCTATCATTGTGTTATACTGAGGATCATATTTTCTGTTGAATCACAGGCTATCGTATCACTTTTTCCTACTTTATGTTTCTGCCTCCTTCTACCACTTGCATTACTGTCAATAAATTTCACATCAATCCTTCTCGAAATTGCAAAGATGTCTTTGATAAACATGTCTAAACTACTTAAGTCGGTTATCTCTTAATGTTTGTTCTATTGACGTTACTTATTCTTGTCCACAACTATGATACTGAGCAGAAACATCTTTTTGGAATAATTAATATTCCGAGACCAAGCAATATGGTGACAATTAATGTTCATTCAAAAATATCTCAACTGTTTCTTCTAAAAGCATAGAGAGGAAAATTCTAACTATATGGCGTTGGATGTTGATGGGCATGGCTCAAGGGCCCAACCCACGCTATGAGCCCGATTAAAAAGTAAGAGTCCAATTTAAAGAGATCCAATAAGATCTATTTCAAAGGGGTTCACATCCGATCATGCTCATTAAGGTTTGAGGAGCTATATCGTCAAGGGAGTAAGTAGGGTCATCCAAGAGTCTCAACCACGCCGCCTTGAAAAGAGTCAACCTCTATGTCATCTTTTGACCGAATTTTATGGGGAGCGTCGTAACTGCCTCATCCGTTAAGAAGATGACACCAACTTCAGCAGCAAGGGCGGAGGGAGGCTAGGGCCAGGGTGGGCACATGCCCTCCCTCAAAATTTTTTTTTTATTAGTTAAGTATATACATTATATATTTGTATAATATATTATTTGTGCTTACCCAAAATTTAAGATAAAAATATTAGGCCCATATTATTTACTCAAAAGAATTAAAAAATTAAGCTCATTTAAAATAAAAAAATTTGAACCCATCACTATCTATCAAAACTTACTAAAAAATTAATTTTTTGACCTATCACAATCTACTCAAACCTATTAAAAAAATAAAACTTTTGATCCACCATTAAAAAACAATTTTTTTGCTCACTTGATAAACATCAATAACACCTATCTTATTAGTTATTTTTTTTCTTCTCTGTCTCACACAATCCCAATTGCTCAACCAGAAGAAACAGAGTAAAGCTCCTTCCTCAGTTCCCTGAGTTTTTTTGTGATTCCTTGCACAGTTGATGGGTTTAGTAGAGAGCACGACCAATGCTAGCATATGCCCGGGGGAGGGGGGCACATGTCCACCCTTAAATTTTTTTTCTTAAGATTACCTATATGTATTTTAAGTATTTCTTCAATATTTTTAATTATGCCCACCCTATTTTTTTGGCACATCAATTAATGTACACTTATATCAAATAAATATGAATTTTTTTGACACATTTTTGGACATGTTATGTATATAAAGACCAAAGTGATAAAATGATGGTGTATGTAAAAAATAATAAAGTTGTTATGCAACGGTTTCAAAGTATGAAAATTCACTGGAGTCAATTATAAATGATTTTAATTAGCCTATATTTTTTTTAAAAAAAATTTGGTGTCGTTTGTATATATTAAGTTTACCAAATTTTGGTATGTTGGGTTTAATGAACTTTTAAGTATTAAATATGATGTAATTAAATATAAATTATTGTCCTATTTCTATTGATTATTAAAAAAAAATTATTTTGTTGAAATATTAGTATCCACCCTGACATGACTTTCTAGCTCTGCCCCTGTTCACCAGATTAGTCTTCTTGTTACTAAAAGCCCGCCTTAATCTGTTCAAGAGACGACTATAAATTGTAAGCTCTTCTAACACTTGAGCAGCATCACATTTAGTCGAGCACATCTCTGTAACTCTCATATCTTGTAACTCCTTGCTCTCGCCACACACTTGAAATAATAAACTATCCCGACGATCTTAACTATTTAAAGTGGACGTAGGTCACGTTGACTGAACTATTATAAATCCTTATCTTGCCTTTGTTTCTATCTCTTTCTACTTTACTACTGTATTTATCACTGTTCATTTGACAGATGATATGTAAATTTAATTTGTGCATCATCGTATGTATCGTATTGCCTTCATGAATTAAAGTTTAACATCTGCTACACCAAGAACTTTGCACTCTGCAGGGCATTTAATATCCTTAGATAATCCTGAAAAAGTCCTAGTTACTAAATAGTATGTCAATTATAAGAAATGTTGATTTAAGAAAGGCTGATCAGACTTCCTTGAATGGCGAACAAATAGCACCAAGCAAAATAATCATATATTTCCATTTTTGGAAGAGCATTCCTCCCACAATCTTCTGCATTACAAGATTAGTACACTAAGGTGGCATATTTATAAACAAGTTCATCATATACTGATGATGAGCACACACTAAAAAATGCAGGGGTGTTGTAGTTAGAACAATTCCAACGCTCTCAACAAATGCCATTTTTTAGTTATTTCGCTGAGCCAATTCAAAAAATTCCTCTCCAACCGGCTCTCTATTTCGTTGGCTAATTTGCCTATCCCCACTCTCACTCATTAGTTGTGGCTAGCAAGGTTCTCTCTCATCAAAGCTCTCTCTCCTAATTTTGGGTTGTTCTTCATCAAAGTTTTGCGCCAATTTTGAGTTTTTCATCAGAGCTCGTCTTCATCTGATTTGTCTTCACTGTGACCCAGTATGGATCTCTTTCTCTCTCTGGGTGTTCCAATTTTTTGAATTTCTGGTCTAGGTTTGCTCTATCGTTGGATTTGGGGTTTTCAGAGCAACGAGGATGGGTTTACTGGTGGTGGTACTCTAGTGGCTTCAATGACGGTGGTGATTTGATGGAGGAGGATAGTGGTGGTTGCATGCTCCGGTGGCGTGTTCTTCTGGCCCTCATCTGGTTCTCAATGGATTAGGGGGATAGGAAATAGTGATGGTGAGTTCTGGTGACGTAGTTTTCGGATGGTGGTGGTGATCTCGAATGGTTGTGGGGTTTGGGGAGTTAGGGAATAGGGAGAAGGTAGAGATGGTCGCCGGAGGTTGCTAGTGGTCACTGGAGGTTGCTGATGGACGTTAGTGGTTGATGGTGGTGGATAGTCGGACGTTAATGGATGATAGTGGTGGATAGTTGAAAGTTAGTTGAAGTAGTTAATTAAAATAGAGAGCGTGGTTGGAGTGAATTTTAAAAAGTGGATAGTTAAAATAGTGAATACAATATTTAAATATATTTTGAATAGTTATTTTATTGAGCATGGTTGGAGATGCTCTAAAGAGTTTAGATATCCCAAACTCAACATAAAAAACTAAAAAAAAAAAAAGAGAGCCATTTTGGATTTAGAAAAATGCGGAATTTTATGATGGGGTCAACAGATATCTGTAAAAAAAATCAAGGAGAATATACCAGAGTTCTAAAGCATTGTGGACTACAATCAATTCTGCTTTAGTGATAGTTTCATAAAATGCTATGAAAAAAATGAATAAATAAATCAAATTAGCGGTTAAAATATTGCCCGATGAAGTCGTTGTTATCAATGTCGGTGGTGAGCACGTCCTCGACAGTGATATCCCTATGCAACGCCCAGTTTGTAATTCTCTTGTGCCCTTATCAATCCTTGCTTCTGCCAAATACATAAAGGCCCTTGCCACTACAAGTGTAGAGAACAAAAGCCAATTGATGCAAATAACCTCCCTGGAATGGTTTTAAAGGTCCTGTCACCATGCCCAACCGTCGTAACGGGCAAGTAAATAGAATCAATCCAATCCAAACTCTCCACAAAATACAATACCAAAATCCCAATTCCAATGCACAAGACCACAACACCCAGAGCCAAACCAACCTTCAATCTGATTCTTATCCTGCCCTTGTGTACATCACCAATGTAGTTTCTAGCAGAGAATCCCCCGTGGGTTCCTCTCACATGAATGCCAGCCATGATAATGTTTTCTTGAAAATCAAGAACGTAATTGACAACCCCACTGAGTAGTATATCGACGAACCCGAAACCCACCAATACGAAGAAGCAGACAAAGAGTTTGGTGGCCGGGGATAATGGGGCTATGTTTCCGTAGCCGTTGGTGCATATGGTGACTATACAGAAGTAGAGGGCATCGACGATCAGGTGGGCTTTGACGCCGGAGAAATTGTCATGGTTGAAAGAATAAATAACAACGCCAAGAGAGATAGATTAGGAGTAACAAGACGACCTGTTTGAGGAGAGAACTGGAGGTGGAGTGGGGTTTATTAAGATCATGATGATTAGGTGGGTGAGGATTGAGGTCTCGCATGATGGCCATTGCGGGGGCAGTCTTGTAGTGAATTTTCTTGGGGGCATTAGGAGCTCCGGCGGAGTGGGCAGTGCCTGAGAGTGAGAGTCCAGGTGAAAAAGAGGCATCAACTGAAGAAAGGTCTTGAATGTCTGGGAAGATAAGTGGAGGGATGTTGTTGGACCGAGGATGAGGGTGAGGGAGGGGGAGAGTAGTGTTGAAAGAGAAAGAGAAATGATGGTCGTCGATAAAAGGTTGGAGACGGGTGGGTCTTGATTGTAATTGGGACGCCAGAAAGGGTTCTTCTTCTTCCATTTGCATTCAAAAAAGGAAAAGCAGCTAATTGACGGACGACGTACGCCACCCCAAAAGCTTTAAGACTGAACTGAAGGCTTATAGCGCCAAGCAAACAACAACAAATGATAAAAGGACTCAGGAGAGAGAGTCGGGAGAGAGGGGGTGGCGTGGGGATATCCGATGGACAGATAGAGGATACTACTGTCTGTGTTGGGCACAACACTGGCAACAAAGTTTTCGACTGCGATTCATCACCAAAACTGTGGGGTAGGTAGGTTGGGGAGCCCACAGCACCAGGGCAATTGAGACGTACAATATTATGATTTGTACCCATTCAATTCAGGTTTTTTTTCCATTAGTTTTCAAATTTTCTAAGATATATACTAAACCTTAGTGTTGTAGTAAAATTTCCTAACCCACCATTCTAAAATAATAAAACCTAGTGTCAGTAGTATGCAAAAAATAAAATTTTATGGCACAGATTTATTAAAGAGCAATGCTACAGGGAATTTATTTGGGGACCTAATAATATGACTCTAATACAATTATTAGATTAGTTATGAATTTTAATGTTAAATGGAGTCCATAATTAATTTAATAATTATATTAAATTAAAATTTTAAATTAAATTCAAATAATATTTTCTTTTGTTAAAGTGGAGACGAGTATTGTGTCTTGCGTTGAATGCAAAGTTTCATACACGCTTGAACGAGGAGGTCCCACAGCCACCCCAATGAAGATATAAATAATACCAATAAATATCCTGCATATTTATGAGCCTTTACATGCTGGATACCCATGTTGCGCAACTACCCCTTTGCTTGTCCTTTTTGTCGGTAGTGGCTCGAATTTTTATTTGAGTAATATTATACTGATTAAATTTTAAAATTAAATTTTAAATTTAAATTATGTGGTATCATATTATTTGAAATTTTTTTTAGGATTCAAATGACATGACACCAATATTAATGTCAAGTTAATTGTTATGTCATTTGGTCTCTAAATTTAATCTCAAAATTAAGTCACTGTAATATTACTGTTTTTATTTTGATTGATTAGGTGATATCATTGTTAAAAGTTTATTAAATGATACGAGTGACGTAATTTTATTACTTGAATGAGATAAGAGTTTCTTTGTAATTGGTTAGATGATGTAATTATTAAAATCTTATTGGAGCATACAAGCGGAGCAATTTCATTCCTTAAATGAGATGAGATTTCCTTTGTAATTTGTTAGATGATTACATTGTTACAATTTTATTAGAGGATACAAGTGGAGCAATTATTGTTTAAATGCAAAGGAGTTCATCTGTCACCATCTTGAGATGCCTATAAATAGGCATGAGCCTCTTATTTTTGAGATTATCTCGAAAATTGTATTTGTTCAATTTTTATTTTTTTGTTGAGAGTACCAGAGGTTTCTCTACTAAGAGTTTGAGAGGGTAAGGTTGAATGGGTTGTACAAGGGGTTAGAAGTTTGAGTTTGGAATTTAAACACGTAAATCTTGATGTTGTGAGTTATGTTTTGATTTTCTTTATTTTGCTTCTTCATTTTCTTGTCGTTGTACTGACCAAATTATTGCGAAATTAATTCCCAACAAGTGGTATTGGAGCCCCAGTTTTGTTTGAGAGGATTGTAATTAAGAACAAGTGCGCATAGTTCTTGATTACCGACGCTCACTATGATGAAGAAAAAAGGTTTCTCGATGGGCAAATTCGAGGTGGAGCCCTTTGATGGGAAAAACAACTTTAGTCTATGGTAAAACACGATTAAAGACATCTTGGTGCAACTAGGACTGCCCAAAACAATAATCGAGAAAGACAAGAAACCAACGGACTTCAAAAAAGAGGACTGGGAGGAACTTGAAATGAAAATTGTGAGTACAATCTGTTTATCTCTCACACCAGAGTAAAATATAATTGATAGGGAGTACTATTGCAGGAGGAGCAGTTGTGACAACTCTATTGGATCTGAGTACTGATGACACTACTCTATGAAATTTATGCCTTGGCCATATGAGTGAGAAAGAACTGCAGGAACTTCACAGACGAAAGCTACTTGATGGGGTAAAAGTTTGTAAATTTAGTTTTTACAAATGTTATTTGTATGATAAACATACAAGTAAGGTTGTGTTAGGATACATACATTCGGATGTATGGGGACTAGTGCTAGTTCAATCCAAAGGTGGAACAATATATTTCACAATATTTATTGATGACTTATCTAGGAAAGTATGAGTCTACTTCATGATGCACAAAAATGAAGTCTTTGACAAATTCAAGTAAGTGAAAAGTTGAACTTGAAAAGCAGATAGGTAAGCATATCAAGTACCTACGGATGGACAATGACATGAAGTATAAATTCTAGGAATTCAGGAAGTTTTGCCAAACGGAAAGAATCACAAGACATTATACTACACTAGGTAGGCCACAACAAAACTGTATAGCAGAAAGAATAAATAGAACCTTATTAGAAAAGGCAAGATATATGAGACTTCTTGCAAGTTTGCCACAATCATTTTGGGCCGAGACTGTTAACATGACATGCTATATTGTTAACAAGTCACCATGTTCAGCTATTGATGCTAAAGTTCCTGAGGAGGTGTGGACCAGTAAACCACTTGATTATTCTAATTTAAGAATATTTAGTTGTCTTGCCTATATTCACTACAGAAGTAGCAACGATCGAAGTTGGAACCAAAGTCCAAACAATGTATATTTATTGGCAACGAAAAAAAGCGTAAAAGGTTACAAACTTTGAGATCTAGGTGCACGGAGGGTTTTAATCAACAAATGTTGTCTTCAATGAAGAGCATTTGTTGAACTTAAATAAGGAGGATGATGATAAGTAGGTGGGGGCTCATGTAGAAAATTCTCAGTCCAGATAGAACCAGATGAAACACTATGGCCCAATGAAGAGGATGATGTACCAACGTCCTCTCAGGAAGATACATCTAGTGGTGATGACGAGCAACAAGAATTCACAACGGTAGCTGCTGGAAGAGAGAAAAGAACCCATAAGGCACCAGTCAATTATGGTTTTGAAAATATGGTTTCTTTTGCATTAGTTTTTGGTAGTGGAGATCCATCTTCTTTTCAGGAGGCTGTCAATGACAAAGAAAGTAAAAAGTGGTTGATAGCAATGGAGGATGAGATGGAGTCTTTACACAAAAACAACACTTGGGAGCTCGTTAAAAAATCCAAGGGACGAAATGTGATTGGTTGCAAATGGGTATATCAAAAAAAGGAACTACAACAGACAATGAAAGAGAAAAATTTAAAGCTCGTCTTGTAACAAAAGGGTATAGGCAAGTCAAAGGGATAGACTATAATGAAATTTTTTCTCCTGTTGTAAAGCATTATTCTATTCATGTTATGTTAGCCCTGCTTGACCTTAAGTTGCAGCAACTTGATGTCAAGATGGTGTTCCTTCACAAAGAATTGTAGGAGGAAATATATATGTAATAATCAGAAGGATTCAAGGTGCAAGGTAAAGAGAATTTGGTATGTAAGCTTAAAAGGTCTCTTTACGGGTTGAAACTGTCTCCTAGGCAATGGTATAAGAGATTTGATTTCTTTATAGTGCATGTTGGCTAAATGAGAAGAAGTTATGATAATTGTGTTTATTATAAGATGCTTGAACATGGTTCTTTTATTATTCTGATGCTTTATGTTGATGACATGTTAATTGCTTCAAATAACATGCATGAGGTAGATTTGCTAAAGTCCAGATTATGAAGTGAGTTTGACATGAAGGATCTAGGTGCTGCTAAAAAGATCCTTGGAATGAAAATCCAGAGGGATAGAGGAAAAGACAAACTATGGGTTTCACAGAAGAAATATGTGGAGAATGTACTAGAGAGATTTAACATGGTTAATTCAAAGCCGGCCAATACACCTCTAGCTAGCCACTTTAAATTATCTACTAGATTATGTCCGTCTACAGGTGATGAGGTGAGGAAATGTCCCAAGTTCCGTACGCTAGTGTAGTGAGAAGCTTAATGTATGCTATGATTTATAATCGGCTAGATATCTCACATGCAGTCAGTGTATTAAGCAAGTATATGGACAATCCAAGAAATGAGCACTGGAATGTAGTTAAATGGATTTTCAGAAACTTAAGAGGTACGATGGATTTGGACATCTTGTATCGGAGAAAAGATGAGACATGACATGTTGTGGGCTATGTAAATTCAGACTATGTAGGTGATCTGGACAAGCGAATGTCTACTACAGGTAATATTTTCACTCTTGCAAGTGGACTTATTAGTTGGAAAGCTATGCTTCAAACAATCTCCGTTTTATCCACAACTGAAGTAGAGTATATGGCAAAGGTGGAAGTTGCCAAGGAGGTTTTATGGTTGACAGGATTGGTCAAGGAATTGGAATTGAAGCAGGAAAGCTTGGAGCTGTATTGTGATAGTCAAAATGCTATTCACTTAGCAAAAAATCAAGTTTATCATGTCAAGACGAAACACATCGACGTGAGGTTTCACACTATCAGAGAATGGGTGGAGGATGCCAAGATATGTTTGATGAAAATACACACAGAGAATAATGCTGCCAATATATTGACAAAGCTAGTGACTACGTAAAAGTTCAATCATTGCTTGGACGTGATCAATCTTTCACACCGTTAAAGATTGATGAGAAATTCTAAGGTGTGAGGATGGGTATCTCAAATTGAGATGCAGGCCTGAAGTTTCAGGTGTAGATTATGAAATTTTTGCCAAGGTGGAGATTTGTTGGCAGTGGCTCAAATTTTTATTTTGCTTGGTTAGGTGACATCATTACTAAAAGTTTATTGGAGGATACAAGTGGAGTAATTTCATTGCTAGAATGAAATGAGAGTTCTTTTGTAATTGATTAGATAATGTCATTGCTAAAATCTTATTGGAGGTTACAAGTGGAGCAATCAAATGCATTACTTAAATGCAAAGGAGTTCATCTTCCACCAAGTTGAGATGCCTATAAATAGGCATGAGTCTCTTGTTTTTGAGATCATCCCAAAAATTATA